ACTGCACAGTCTTTGCCAAGCGTTGTGCTGGGTGCTGAACACACCTTGCTTTAACCCTCACTACTATCCATTTTCTAGATGAGGAAACTGAGGCTCAGAGGTGAGGGAGTGACTTTGGACAAGTCACGTCACCTCTCCCAGCTCAGTTCCCTCATCGTTTAAAGAGAGGTGGTAATGGTGGATGAGCTCCAGGGAGCTGTGGGAATAACTTGAGCTGCCCTCTTCCTACCTGTTCTGGGGAGGGTGATATTAGCTGGGGGTGTGCAAGTGGAGATTTCTAAAACCAGACCTACTTCCTTTCCATATTGGGTGTAGGATCATAGCGTGGTTCTGCCCTGAGAAACAGGCAGAGGGCATGAGTGGCACAGGCCCCCACTCTAGAATCATTCCCATTCTGCCTCTGCAACCACGGGGTCCCAGGTGCCTGGGGTCTGTTCAGATCTATGATTTTACCTAAGGGGCTCTTCAGCTGCGGAGAACATGGTTCTTTAATTCTAAATTCTGGTGCACTCAAGGTCCCTTCTCCAAATGACGTCACCACTGCCCATTGCTGTACCTTAAATGTCACTTTCACATACTCTTTTGACCTTTAGGTGTTTTTAAACTTAGAGATTTTCCCCCATCAAGATGCGAATGACAGGGGGAAATGATACCTCGAGGGACACATAAAGGCTGATGAAGCCAACACCTTCACTATGGCTTAGTGCCTCGGGTTCAGGCTCATACCTCTGACCACAACAGCCTCCTTTGCACTGACTTTGTCATCAGAGTGACCATCATATCAGTCAGTGTCTTGGCTAGCAGGCAACTGTCCAGCGCTAACCGTTAGCACAGAACATTTGAGCTGTAGGCTAACAGTTTCATGATTGCCAACACAGACCAGTGTATTCCTCAAACCTTAATTATAAGCTAACATTTTAATTATCAGCTACCTCCTTGGTTAATAGCTAACATCCTAGTCATCTTGTAACATATTAATCAGCAGCACATATTTGAGTTACAGCTAACACTTTGGTTAACAGCTAACATCTTGGCTATGAGCGAATGCCTGAATCATCAGTGAAAGCTTTCCTTAATAAGGAACATCTTAGTTACCAGCTGAAATGTTGGTGGTAAGAGAATTCAGTTCATTTGACTTAGCAGCAAAAATCCAAGTGGGTGCTTCTCAAGCCTCAATATGCATTTGGGTTATCTCGGGCGACCGTTCAAATGCAGGTTCTGACACTGTAGGTCTGGGGGAGGCCCACCGGGTCTGCGTGTCTAACAAGCCCCTCGGGGAGCAGATGCTGCTATTTGCACTTGGCAAGGCAAGGGTCCAGGTTGTCTGTTAAGAACTGGTCATTAACAGAGTTGCCGAAGCACTCATTACCAGCTAACTTGTTGGTAACAATCCCAACATTATTTATCTGCTCACATCTGCACGACTACCAACACCTTGACATGGGAACCAGCGGTGTACAGGAGCTTGTGCAGGCTCAAGAGAGCTGACCGTTGGGAGTTTCAGGAATTTTGCGAACCGGTTGTTAAGCCCTCAATAACTTGAAATCAGACATGGTGGGAATCTTTACACGATAAAATGGGGAAATGCTACAAACCAGGGCTTTACTTGCTTTCAGAGGACTGGCTTATCAGCCCACAGCCTCTCTTAGGTCAGGGCCAGTTTCAGGCAGGGAGGCCTGTGGGGCAGGAGGTGCTCTCTGCAGAGAGCCAATCTCCATGAGGCAGGAGAGGGACAGAAGCAGTACTCACTTTCCCTGTGGACTTGACGCCCTTCCAGATGCAGAAGAAACAGACCAGCCAGACGAAAAGGAGGCAGAGAGCAAGGTCCCACTTCAGCGAGCCGGGGTTGTCAATTCCAGAAGACAAGTTCAGCACGTTGCGCCTTGAAGGAGACAGAGCCACAAGTCAATAGGGCCCAGCCCCAGGGCAGAGGGAACCAAGGCCTAGACTCCAACAGGGGTTCAAATCCCGGCTCAGGTGCTGCATTTGCACAAATCACCTGTCCTCTCCTGGCCCTGGAATCCTCGTTGATTTCAGGAAATAGTTAATCCCCCTGTCACAGAGTTGTGGGGAAGTCAATCAGGAAATAAATTCAGACTCCTAAATCAGGCGAACCTGGGTTCAGCCCAGCCTGACCTCAGGCAAGTTAAGTAAACCCCTGAGCCTCAGTTTCCCCATCTGTACAATGGGTACTGATTTCCATGTGATTGTTTGTCAGCAGATCTTTCTTCCCTGGCTTCAAACTCGGCTCCACGGTGTAATCACTGGCTTTGGATCAGTTATCCAACCTCCTAGACCCCCTCATCTATAAAATGGGACTAGCTACTGTTTCCCAACATGCCTCTTTTATTTCAGTCACCGTTATCTTATTTGAATCGCTCTCTAAAATGTAAGCCTCAAGGGGGCAGTGTTCTATCTGTAGCTATAAAACACCCATCTACCTCCTATCATCGACTGTTGTTAGGAGAAAACCTACAAGAAGTACTAACTACAGGGTTTGGGGTTGCAGCCAACCCTTGAGAAACCTAGTAGCTACTACTGTCGTGATGCTGAGAGGCCCAGAGCAGATCCTGGCAACCAAGTAGTGCTGGTTCCCCGCTTCCCTTCCAGGGTTGTGAATGTCTCGGAAAGGGGCAGGTAGACCATTTGAAGGACACTCGGCATGGGACAGCCACCAAGCCTGCCCAGCATCACATGGCACAGCCTGGGACTCTGAAGTCCAAGAATCTTGGTGACGCACATAAGCACCTACTCACAGACACACTCCTGAGGGGCCGAAGCCATCTGAAGCCAAGACAGGGCAGCACACGGTGCTGACAGCTGAGAAAACCATGCAACTTAATGCCCAGAAACTGTCCCCATTGTCCCAGGGCTCTGACTGCTGTGTCAGTGACCTAGGGTAGCCACACCAAGCAAAGGGACGTCGGCCCTGCACACCAGTCACCTGCCCAAAGAATCTCCAGGCCGCAGACCATAGGAGATAGGGTGCTCGTGCTCCCCTGGGAGAAGCTGGGCTCCCTTCTAACGAAAGTCAGCTCCCTATTTGAAGGCCACACTCTTGAGCAGAGAGGAGAGTGTGACTTTGTGCTTCAGTTTCCTCTTCTGTAAAACATGAACAGCTCCTGCCCAGGGTGCTAGAGGGAAAGCCTTCTAGACCATGTCTGGCTCTCAGCCAGTTGCCAGACGTTCCCCGTACTCAGGGCTCTGGGACTTGGAATATGCCCACTTGACAAGGACACTTTTTCATTGCTTCTCCTTTTTTTTCAAGAGAAGCTTCAACATGAGGACCTTGAATAAATCCAAAATTCCCATCTCAACTGGCATTCAAATGAGGCCTTTCTTTGGTTCACTGCCGTGTTCTCAGCACCTAGAACAGCACGTGATACATAGTAAAGCCTCAATAAATATCTGTTGAGTGAATGAATGAAAAAGACTCAACTCAAGTGAATTGTTAAGTCTGCATATCACACTAGAACAATTCATGAACTATTTCTACTAACAAGCCTTAAGGAGGGGCAGCTTTGTTTTTTTTCTTGCTGGTCACCCCAACATCAATGGGCTCCCCACTGGCCCCTAGGACAGTGTGTGCTCTTGATAACACCAACACCTTTTCAATTTATCTCATCTGATCCAAGGACTAGAAGCCATTTGCCCCATTGTACAGATGGGGAAAATGAGGCTTGGAGGATCTAACTGGCCACAAACACAGACAGCAGGGGACAGAGCTGCCACCCTACTCCCAGGCCCGTCTCACTCCAAAAGCCAGTGTTACCTGGACGCCACCTAATTGCCCGTCTGATTCAGAGAAAACAGAGCCTAAACTTGAAAAAGAATCTCTCCGGTCCCTGCTATGGGCCGGGGTCATCTGGAGCCTCGGGCAGGACAACCCCATAAGGCAGGGCTAGCTGCCAACTGCATCCCGGCTGGGGCCCTGCCAAGCACGTGGCTCTGGCGGCTGCAGCAGCTTTAGAACAAAAAGCCCTTCCCCGTGCAGCCTCTAGAGCTCGGCACCTTCCATGGAGGCCCAGGGCATGCTGGGCAGCGGCCCAAGGCTTCCTTGTGAATGGGCAGCGTCAAGGAGAGCACTTTTCCACCTCCACACCTTCGCATCTGCTCCAACGCCAAGCACACAGCCCCACGCTTCCAGGGAAGTCTTCCCTCATGCTCCACAGATGACTAACTGTAGAGTCCCATTCTGTCCTCTAACACTGGATGTCACCCTCAGGTGACAGGTTTGGCTTGCCTACCAGACTCTAGACATCCCAAGGACAAGAATCTCACAGACAGGCACACACAGTGGGTGCTCAGCTAAGGCTGAGGAGGTGCCCAGTCATAAGACAGTCTTTTCTCCTGAAGGGCAAGCTGGCCAAGAAGCTTGACTCCCCAGGGCCAGGGTTCTGATGGCACCAAGCCCTTAGGAAGTTCACTGGCACCTTGCTGCCTTCTCCCACCACCGTGCTGGGCAAACCAGTGGTGCCCACTATGGGAGGGAGCCTGCCACATTGGCTTGCTCTGGGCAACTGACCAGTTATGGAGGTCACAACAAGGAAACTGAGTCACAACTGGCTTCTCCAATTGCTGGTGGCAATCCCCTTGTAGGACCTCCGGTGACATTTTAAAGCATGTTTTCTTTGACCCAGCAATTCCATTCCCAAGAGTCTCCCCTACAATTACAGTCACGTGTGGCCAAAGGCAAGGCCCACCCCACAGCTGTCTGTAGGAACAAAAGATTGGAAACCACCCAAATGGCCATCAATATGTGTTGAGCAGGCACAGAGACNATTTTCTAGATGAGGAAACTGAGGCTGAGAAAGGCGATGTCAGCTGCCTGGGGTTACGGGTCTAGCTGGTGGCAGAGGTGGGATTTGGTCTGGGCCAGCTAGTTTCAGGGTCTGGTATCTCGTGTGTGTGATTACGTTCTTCCCCAAATCCAGACTAGGACACAGCCTCTCCCCTCGGCTGCCTCTTCGCAAAGCCACCCTTGTTTTGCAGAATTTGCTGCTCTGAGGACAAGCCCCTGAGAGCCACTCTCTCAATTTTTCCATGACTCCCCCGGGATCCTTGCGGGAAAAAGGCTGATGCCAACCGCCGCCAGTGGGCCTCTGGCGGTGGCCCAGCAGGCCTTGCCACAGGACACAGTAGTTTTCCACTCTTGCTGGCAAACCTCTGTGGCTCCTCTGAGCCCTCAACCCAAGTGCCCTGTGGCCCAATTGCCCTGGAAACTTGCAAGGACAACTCTTCCTCATTCTCTAGAGACAGTGGGAAGAAGGTACACCGTGAGGCAGTAGGGAGATGGACTAGTCTCCTGCTGCCATGAGCTTCCACTGAGGGTGAAGGCCTGGGCAGGAGGGGCCCTGAGGGTCCTCACCGCACCCCTGTGTGTGGGAGGATGGGGAGTGGCATTGCTAACTCATTCACACAAGGGGAACATGAGGCTCAGAGAGGGAAAGGGACTTACTCGCCCAAAGTCACACAGCTTGGAGTGGGCAGAGCTTGTCTGGCTCTGACTGCCACCCCTGCGTCACTGGTAAGCTCTGAACAGAAGAGCTGCCCTAGAGACTGGCGATGGAGAGGCACAGCCTCGGGACATGTTTGAGCTATGTCCCCTTTGGGTCCCCAGGGCTGTACTTCCAGTGTGAGGGTCTGGACTTCTGTCACCTTCCTAAACCACAGTGGCCGTGACTCTCGTCTGTGGCTAAGGCTGGAAGCCATGGCTAAAACTGGGTGGGCAGGCAGGCAGGCCAAGCTCGAGCCTGTGTTTGTCTTGGCTTCTTTGGGCTGGCCCAGGCCCTGCTATTGTTCTGGGAACCACGCCTGCCCCTCAGGGCCCTGGAGCCGCCTGAGGAGAAAGTTGTCTCTAGGGACAGGCTTGGGGGACCTTTGGCATGTCACGTCTTCAACTGGCCACAGATGTAGCCTGGAACCCTCTATGTTTTGTGCTGATTCTATTCTCCTGCCTCCTCCATTGTGTCTCAAATGTTGCTCCCTGTTCCTGGTAGACATCAGCCTCCTCCATCAGACTGGAGGCGCCTCCGGGGTCTGGGTCAGACACACCTCAGGGCCTTTGCACTAGCTGTTCTCGCTCCCTGGAATTTTTTTCTCCTCCAGATATCCACATGGCTCACCCCCTCACTTTCTTCAGATCTTTGCCCGAAGTCACCTTCTCAGAGAACCTTGCCTGGACGTCCTACCTAACATTGTACGCAATATTCCCTGTTCTCCTTTGCGGCATTATTCTTTCCCATAGCTCTTGTCACTACCTTATTCCTACAGATTTTACACACATTCACCTTATTACACATTAACCAATGAATCTGTCAGTTCTTGGACCACGGGACTTTTTGTCTGTTTTCTTGATCCCTGCACATCCCTCAGCCCCATTCCTACAACAGTGCCTGGCAAATAAAGAGTCTCAAAATACATATATGCGTGCATAAGTAAATAATCATGTCTCCAGCATTGCTCAGGACCAGTGCTCCATAGACACTTCTTGAGAGACTCACCTCTATGTGAGGAAAAGGAGGCAAGGTGAGGAAGGGATTGGCATTTACTGCACAGTCTTTGCCAAGCGTTGTGCTGGGTGCTGAACACACCTTGCTTTAACCCTCACTACTATCCATTTTCTAGATGAGGAAACTGAGGCT